ATTTGGGGTGGATTTGGGGGGAAACTTGGGGGGATAATTGGGGGAAATTTAAGAGAATTCGGGGAAATTTGGGGGAGATAATTTGGGGGAAATTTAAGGGAGATTTGGGTCAAATTTGTGGGGATTTGGGGCAAATTTGTGGTGGATTTGGGAAAAAATTTGGGGGAAATTAGGGAGAACTTGGGAGAAATTTAGGGGGGATTTGTGGTGGGCAATTTGGGTAAATTTGTGGGGGATTTGGGGGAAAATTTGGGGGTGGATGTGGGGGAAAATTAGGGAGAACGTGGGGGAAATTTAGTGGGGATTTGGGGGAAAATTGGGGGATATTTGGGGTGGATTTGGGGGAAATTTGGGAGAATTTGGGGGAAAACTTAGGGGGGATTTTGTGGGGCAATTTGGGTAAATTTGTGGGGATTTGAGGCAATTTGGAGTCCCCCCCCAACCCCACAAACCCCCCCAAAAAAACCCAAATTCCCCCCCAAAAAACCCCAAATCCCCCCCAAAAAACCCAAAACCCCCCAAAAAAACCCCAAAACCCCCCAAAATCTCCTCCTTACTCCCCAATCTTCTGCAGGTCCCCCCCTCGGCCGGTGTAGAGCGTCAGGCAGCCCTTGAAGGACGGAGGCGTAGCTGAGGAAGAGGAGGGTGGGGGAGGGGTCAGCCAATGCACCCCAAATATCCCCAAAATTGCCCCCAAAATACCCCCCAAATCCACCCCCAAATTTCCCCTAAATCTACCCCAAATATCCCCCAAATCCACCCCAAATACCCCCCAATTTTCCCCCAAATCCACCCCCAAATTTCCCCTAAATCTACCCCAAATATCCCCAAAATTGCCCCCAAATACCCCCCAATTTTCCCCTAAATCCACCCCCAAATTTCCCCTAAATCCACCCCAAATATCCCCCAATTTTCCCCCAAATACCCCCCCAATTTTCCCCTAAATCCACCCCCAAATTTCCCCTAAATCTACCCCAAATCCACCCCAAATACCCCCCAATTTTCCCCCCAAATCCACCCCCAAATTTCCCCTAAATCTACCCCAAATATCCCCCAAATCCACCTCAAATATCCCCCAATTTTCCCCCAAATCCCACCCCCGAATTTCCCTTAAATCCCCACAAATTTGCCCCCAAACCTCCCTTAAATTTCCCCCACTTCTCTCCCAAATTTCCCCCAAATCCCCGCCAAGTTTCCTCCAAATCCACCCCCAAAATTTGCCCCAAATCCCCACAAACGTTTCCCAAATCCACCCCAATTTCCCCCAAATTTCCCCCTAAGTTGCCACCAAATTCTCCGATTTCCCCCAAATCCACCCCAAATATCCCCCCAATTTTCCTCCAAATCCCCTCCCAGGTGTCCCCAGGTGTCCCCGGTGTCCCTGTACCCCTTGGTGAGGTGGATGATGTCCCTGGGCTGGATCAGGTTCCCCACATTGCCCCAAATCCCCCCTAAATTTTCCCCCAAATGTCCCCAAATCCCCCCAGAAGTGTCCCCCAGCTGTCCCCAAGTGTCCCCAGGTGTGTCCCCAGTGTCCCCAGGTGTGTCCCCGGTGTCCCCGGTATCCCTGACCCCTTGGTGAGGCGGATGATATCCCCGGGCTGGATCAGGTTCCCGAAATCCACCCCAAATCCCCTCCCAGGTGTCCCCGGGTGTCCCCAGGTGTGTCCCCCGGGTGTCCCCAGGTGTCCCCCATGTGTCCCAGATGTGTCCCCAGTGTCCCCCAGGTGTCCCCCAGGTGTCCCCAGGTGTCCCAGGTGTGTCCCCAGTGTCCCCAGGTGTGTCCCCAGGTGTGTCCCCAGGTGTCCCCAGGTGTGTCCCCAGGTGTGTCCCCAGGTGTGTCCCCGGTGTCCCCCGGTGTCCCTGACCCCCTTGGTGAGGCGGGATGATGTCCCCGGGCTGGATCAGGTTCCCCACATCGTCCCACACCGAGATGTTGATGCTGCCGCTCTTGTCGGCCACTTTGCACGTCCGCACCTCGTGGCCGTCCTTGGTCCTTGGTCACCCGGCCTGGGGACACGGGGGGGACACGGGGGGGACACACAGGGGTCACACGGGGTCACACAGGGGTCACACAGGGGTCACACAGGGTCACAGGGTCACACAGGGTCACACAGGGTCACACAGGGGTCACAGGGTCACACAGGGTCACAGGGTCACAGGGTCACACAGGGTCACAGGGTCACACAGGGGTCACAGGGTCACACAGGGTCACACAGGGTCACAGGGGTCACAGGGTCACACAGGGTCACAGGGTCACAGGGTCCACACAGGGGTCACACAGGGTCACACAGGGTCACACAGGGGTCACAGGGTCACACAGGGTCACACAGGGGTCACAGGGGTCACAGAGGATCACAGGGTCACAGGGTCACAGGGTCACACAGGGTCACACAGGGGTCCACAGGGTCACACAGGGTCACACAGGGTCACAGGGTCACAGGGCACTGACCGGTCTCCAGCACGATGAAGATCAGGTTCAGGTTCTTGAGGCCGGGCCGGACGTCCCTTGACCAACGTCTCAGAGCTCATGGTGGGACAGGCTGGGGGACAGCGGGGACACTGAGGGGGACACTGAGGGGACACTGAGGGGACACTGAGGGGACAGCAGGGGGACATTGGGGACACTGAGGGGACAGCGGGGGACACTGAGGGGACAGTGGGGGACACTGAGGGGGACAGCGGGGGACACTGAGGGGACACTGAGGGGACAGCGAGGACACTGAGGGGACAGCGGGGACACTGAGGGGACACTGAGGGGACAGCGAGGGGACACTGAGGGGACACTGAGGGGACAGCGAGGGACACTGAGGGGACAGCGGGGGACACTGAGGGGACACTGAGGGGACAGCGGGGGGACAGCGAGGGGACATTGGGGACACTGAGGGGACACTGAGGGGACACTGAGGGGACAGCGAGGGGACAGCGGGGGGGGACACTGAGGGGACACTGAGGGGACAGCGGGGACACTGAGGGGACAGCGGGGACACTGAGGGGACACTGAGGGGACAGCGGGGGGGGACAGCGAGGGGACATTGGGGGACACAGGGACAGGGAGGGGACAGCGAGGGGACAGGGAAGGGACCCAGGGACAGGGAGGGGACATTGGGGACAGTGAGGGGACAGGGAGGGGACAGCAGGGACACAGAGGGACACCAAGGAGGACACAGGGACAGAGAGGGACAGCAGAGACACTGAGTGACACCGAGGGGACATGGCACTGAGGAGACTGAGTGACACTGAGGGGACAGAGAGGGGACACAGGGACAGGGAGGGGACAGCAGGGACACAGAGGGACACCGAGGGGACATTGCACCAAGGGGACACTGAGGGGACACTGAGGGGGACAGGGAGGGGACAGGGAATGGCACCCAAGGGATAGGGAATGGCACTGAGGGGACACTGAGGGACAGCAGGGACACTGAGGGGACACTGAGGGGGACACTGAGGGGACTGAGGGGACACAGAGTGGCACTGAGGGGGACACTGAGGGGACACAGAGTGGCACCAAGGGGACACGGTGGGTGGGGGGGGTGCTGAGGTGACAGGGAGTGACACAGAGGGGACACGGCGGGGACACTGAGGGGGACAGAAGGGACGCAGAGTGGCACCGAGGGGACACCGAGGGGGACCACGATGGCACTGAGGGGACAGGGAGCGGTACCCAAGGGACAGGGAATGGCACTGAGGGGACACTGAGGGGACCAAGGGGACAGGGGAGGGGACATGGCACTGAGGGGACACAGAGTGACACTGAGGGGGCACTGAGGGGACAGGGAGTGACACTCAAGGGGACACGGAGTGGCACTGAGGGGGACACTGAGGGGACACTGAGGGGACACGGAGTGACACTGAGGGGACACTGAGGGACTGAGGGGGACAGGGAATGGCACCGTGGGGACATTGAGGGGACAGGGAGGGGCACCAAGGGGACAGTGGGGGACACGGAATGGGACCCGTGGGGACACTGGGGGGGGACACCGGGGACCAGGGGGGACACCGGGAAGGGACAGCGGGACCGGGGGACAGCGGGGACGAGAGGGGGGACACCGGGAAGGGGGTGGGGGACACTGAGGGGACACCGGGGACCAGAGGGGGGACACTGTGGGGGACACCGGGAATGGGGAGGGGGACACCGGGGACAGGAGGGCTCCGGGGACCGGGGCGACACCGGCGGTGGCAGCCCCGGGACCGGCCCGCGGGGACCGGGATGGGGAACCGGGGACACCGGGACCGGGACACGGGGATGGGACACCGGGACCGGGACACCGGGGATGGGACACTTTGACCGGGGACAGCCGGGATGGGGACACCGGGGATGTGGGGACCGGGACACGGAGACCGCGGGACCCGGGGGTGGCCCATGGGGGGACATCGCCGGGGACGGGAGCACCGGGACCGGACACCGGGGGTGGAACCACCGGGACCGGACACCGGGAACGCCACGGTAGCAACGAGACACCGCGAACGGCAACGCAAAGGCAGCACCGAGAGGGACGGAACACCCGCGAGCATCCCTGCAGGGAACCGGGACCACCGGAGCGCGGGGGACACCGGGACACCGGGAACGGGACCGCGGGGGACGGGGGCTACGCACGAACGGCACTCCGGGGGCCACCGGGACCGGGAGCAGAACCAGGACCGGCACCGGCACCGGGAGCGGGGCCGCGCTCCCGTCCCGCCACCAGGGGGCGCTCGCCGCTCCCGCCGCGCTCACCGGGCACGGCGCCGCCGCCCGCCGCCGGCGCTCCCGGAAGTCCCGCAGCGCAGCCAATCAGAACGCAGATAGGCGAGTGGACGCGCTGCGCTTCCAACCAATAGCAACGCAGAGAGGGGAGGGACTATGAGGATAAGCCCACGCCCACTCCACACCGCCCCTACCACCGAGTTCCGGCCAGAGCGGCACTTCCGGCGCGGCACTTCCGGTGCGGCGGGGGCCGGGCGGCGGCACCGGGAGGAGGCCGCGGCCGCCGCTGAGCCCCGAGCGGCCCCGGACGGCCCCGAGAGGCCCCGAGCGTGCCGGGCCCGCCGCCCGCGGTACGTGAGGCTGGGGGGGGAGGCACCGGAGAGGCCCCCGGGGGCGGTCCCCGGTAACACCGGGAGAACCGGGGGAGGAGCGGGGGAACCTCCATGGAGGAGGACCGGAGAACCCGAGGGGGGGTCGCGGTTGGAGGAGGAGGGCTCGGGGGTGGGTGTCGGTAACGGAGAATGGAGCTGAACGGAACCGGGGATGGGAACCGGGAACGGCTCCGGTTGGGGATTGTCCGGTAACGGGAGAGCGAGGAGGGAATGGGGGGAGAATCCCGAGGAATTTGGGGGAAATCCAGGAAAATTTGGGAAAAATCCCGAGGAATTTTTGGGGGAAAATCGGGGAGAATTTTGGAAATAATTTGAAGGAATTTGTGGGAAAATCGAGAGAAATTTTGGGAATAATTTTAAAAAAATTTGGGAATTATTTGAGAGAATTTTGGGAATTATTTGAGAGAACTTTGGGAATAATTCGGGGGAATTTGGGGGAACAATGCCAGAAAAAAATTGGGGGATAATTCAGAGGAGTTTGGGGATAATCCTCAGGAATTTGGGGGTCAGGCTGAAAGAATTGGGGGAAAATCCAGAGAAATTTGGGAAAAATCCAGAATAATTTGGGGAAAAATCCCAAATAATTTTGGGGAAATCCGGAGAAATTTCAGGAAAAATCCAAAATAATTTTGGGGGACAATCCAGAGGAATTTGGGAAAGATCCAAAATAATTTTGGATAGTAATTTTGGGAATTTGGGCTGAAATTCCCAAATTTCTGAGGCTTTGATCCCACTGGAATTGGGGCCGAAATTCTCAAATTTTTGAACCTGCATCCCACTGGAAATGGGGCCAAAATTGCCAAATTTTTGAGTGTGAATCCCACTGGAAATTGTGCTGGAATTCCCAAATTTCTGATCCTGAATCCTTAGATCCCACTGGGCTGGAATTGCCAAATTTCTGAGCTTGGATCCCAGTGGGAATGGGGCCAGAATTCCCAAGTTTCTGAATGTGAATTCCTGGATCCCACTGGACTGGAATTCCCAAATTTCTGAGTGTGGATCCCACTGGAATTGGGGCTGAAATTCCCAAATTTCTGAGCTTTGGTTCCAGTGGGAATGGGTCCAGAATTCCCCAAATTTCTGAACCTGAATCCCTGGATTCCACTGGGCTAAAATTTCCAAATTTCTGAGCTTTGATCCCACTGGAAATGGGGCCAAAATTCCCAAATTTTTGAGTGTGAATCCCACTGGAAATTGTGCTGGAATTCCCAAATTTCTGAGTGTGAATCCCACTGGGAATGAGACTGAAATTCCCCAAATTTCTGAGCTTTGGTTCCACTGGATTTGAGACCAGAATTCCCAAATTTCTGATCCTGAATCCCTGGATTCTACTGGGCTGGAATTCCCAAATTTTCTGAGCTTTGGTTCCAGTGGGAATGGGGCCAGAATTCCCAAATTTCTGAACCTGAATCCCACTGCAATTGGGGCTGAAATTCCCAAATTTCTGAGCCTGAATCCCTGGATTCTACTGGGCTGGAATTCCCAAATTTCTGAGTGTGGATCCCACTGGGAATGAAACTGAAAATTCCCAAATTTCTGAATGTGAATCCCCACTGAGAATTTGGGCTGAAATTCCCAAATTTCTGAGCTTTGGTTCCAGTGGGAATGGGACCAGAATTCCCAAATTTTCTGAACCTGCATCCCACTGGAAACAGGGCTGGAATTCCCAAATTTCTGAGCTTTGATCCCACTGGAATTGGGGCTGAAATTCCCAAATTTCTCAACCTGAATCCCACTGGAATTGGGGCTGAAATTCCCAAATTTCTGAGTGTGGATCCCCACTATGAATGGGGAAGAAATCCCAAATTTCTGAGCCTGAATCCCACTGAGAATTTGGGCCAGAATTCCCAAATTTCTGAGCTTTGATCCCACTGGAAATGGGGCCAAAATTGCCAAATTTTTGAACCTGAATCCCACTGCAATTGGGGCTGAAATTCCCAAATTTCTGAGTGTGGATCCCACTATGAATGGGGAAGAAATCCCAAATTTCTGGAGCCCGAATCCCACTGAGAATTTGGGCTGGAATTCCCCAAATTCTGAGCCTGGACCCCTCTCCGAGCCTGGTTTTGGGGCTCCATTATTCCCAAAATTCCCATAAAATCACCACAGGGGGAGGGAATTTCCCCCCATGTTGGGAATCCCAGGTGGGATTTTGACTTTTCCTGATTTTTTTTTCTCTTTTTTGGGATCAGATCTGCGCCCTGAGGGAGAGGAGAGGGAAAAATGGGAGAATTTGGGGAGGAATTCCCTGCACAGAGTGAGGCCAGAGCAGCCCCGAGCCCTGCCAGGAGGAATTCTGCCACGGGAGGTAAATCCGGGTCCATTCCTTGGGAATTCCTTCAATCCCTCCTTTTTTTCATTTTTTCCCTTTCCTTTCCTTTCCTTTCCTTTCCTTTCCTTTCCTTTCCTTTCCTTTTCCTTTCCTTTCCTTTCCTTTCCTTTCCTGAAATTTCCTTTCCTGAAATTTCCTTTCCTTTCCTGAAATTTCCTTTCCTTTCCTTTCCTTTCCTTTCCTTTCCTTTTCCTTTCCTTTCCTTTCCTTTCCTTTCCTTTCCTTCCCTTCCCTTCCCTTCCCTTCCCTTTCCCTTCCTTTCTTTCCTTCCTTCCCTTCTTTTTTTCCCTTTTTCCTGTTCTTTCCTTTTTCCTTTTTTGGGAATTCCTCCAATCCCTCTTTTTTCTATGAGTAGTTCTCCAATCCTTCCCTTTTTCCTTTCCTTTCCTTTTTTAGGAATTCCTCCAATCCTCCCTTTTTTTCCTTTTCATTTTTCCTTTCCTTTTTCCTTTTTGGGAATTCTTCCAATCCTTCCTTTTTTTCCCCCCATGGTAATTTTTTCCAATCCCTCCTTTTTCCATTCTGGGAAGATCCCAGAGGAGTTTTTGGGGTGAAACCTGGGGAGATCCCAAAGGAATTTTGGGGTTTGGGGGAAGATCCCAAAGGAATTTTGGGAGGATTTCAGAGACATTTTGGGAAGAGCCTGGTGAGATCCCAAAGGAATTTTGGGGGTTTTGGGAAGATCCCAAAGGAATTTTGAGGAAGATTTCAGAGACATTTTGGATCAGCCCTGGTGAGATCCCAAAGGAATTTTGGGGTTTTGGGAAGATCCCAAAGGAATTTTGAGAAGATTTCAGAGACATTTTGGGATCAGCCTGGTGAGATTCCAAAGGAATTTTGGCGTTTGGGAAGATCCCAGAGGGGTTTTGGGAAGATTTCAGAGGAATTTTTGGGATGAGCCTGGTGAGATCCCAAACAAATTTTGGGAGGATTTCAGAGACATTTTGGGATCAGCCTGGTGAAGATCCCAAAGGAATTTTGGGCTTTGGGAAGATCCCAGAGGGGTTTTTGGGATGGGGAGTTTTTGGGGCTGTTCCCGGATTTTTCTGGGCACCCCTGCCCTGCAGGGAATTTTCTGGGGACCCCCTGATCTCCAGGGAATTTTCCAGAACCCTCCAGAGGAGCCTCCCCAGCTGCCCCCGATCCCATGGGAAGGGCCGGGCCGGGATTTGGGAGCTGCCCTGACCCCCGCAGCAGCCGTTGGTCCTTATCAAACCCTGCTCCTTATCAAACCCTGCTCCTTATCAAACCCTGCTCCTTATCAAACCCTGAGGCTGTGGAGTTTTCCCAGGGATTCTTTTTGGGGATTAAAGGAGGGACCTGGGGCTGCTCTGGGGACAGGGAGGGGACAAAGCCCCTTCCTGGGCCGTGGCGGGGGACGCGGGGGTCACATCTGTCCCCCTGTCACCGGGGTCACATCTGTCCCCTCTGTCACCGGGGTCACATCTGTCCCCCTGTCACCCGGGGTCACATCTGTCCCCCTGTCACCGGGGGTCACGTCCTGTCCCTCTGTCACCAGGGTCACATCTGTCCCCCCTGTCACCGGGGTCACATCTGTCCCCTCTGTCACCGGGGTCACATCTGTCCCCCCGTCACCGGGGTCACATCTGTTCCTCTGTCACCGGGGTCACATCTGTCCCCCTGTCACCGGGGTCACATCTGTCCCCTCTGTCACCAGCTCTGCTCCTCGGCCGGGGGCACAGCTGGGCGGGGACAGGCTGCAGGAGCCCGGCACATCTGGACATGTTTGGGAGCCACATCTGGACAGGAGGCCACATCTGGACAGGGTTTGGGTGCAGGAGCTCAGGCACATCTGGCTGGGGGGTCGAGCCGCCAGGAAGCCCGGCACATCTGGACGTGTTGGGGGAGGCCACATCTGGCTGTGGGGCAGCAGCAGGGCCAGGCCTGACCTGCCCCCCCCCCTGGGGTGGGCACAGCTGGAATTCCTGCGGTGGGCACAGCTGGAATTCCTGCCCAGCACAGCTGGAATTCCTGTGTCCCCTCACAGCTCCCAGTCCCCATCCCGGTGTCTTCCCTTCCCTTCCCTTCCCTTCCCTTCCCTTCCCTTCCCTTCCCTTCCCTTCCCTTCCCTTCCCTTCCCCTCCCCTCCCGTTGGGGTTTGGGGTGGGGGACTCCTTATCGGGGCCGTTGTCACCGCCTTTGTCACCGCTCTGTCACCGCCTTTGTCACCGCTCTGTCACCGCCTTTGATGTCGGGGAGGGGCCCAGGGAGCAGCAAGGGCCGGGGCGGAGCTCAAGGCCGGGCCTGGAGGAGGGGAAGGGGCTGGGGAGGGAATTCATTGGGAATTCTGAGCTGGGAAGGGGCTGGGGAGGGAACTCATTGGGAATTCCAGGCTGGGAACGCTTCCATTCCCAACACCAGACGTGCTGAGCTCTGCAAATCAAATAAACCGCCCCAAAAACCGCCCCAAAAACCGCCCCAAAAACCCCAAATCAAATTTCCACAAATAGGAAATTCAGGGTTAGGATTAAGATCGGGGTTGGGGGTTGCCAGGATTGGGATTTGGGTTCCCGGGATTTGGATTTAAAAACCCTTCCCAACCCTTTCTCTGTAGGACTTTGGCCTTCAAGCCCCTGGTAGATCCCAATCCCAGGGGCTGGAAATGGCTCTGGGAAGACCCAAAAATGCTCCAAGGAACCCAAATCCTCCCCCATCCCTGACCCAAAGGAGCTCAAGAAAAATGGGTTTGACTTAAAAAGCCTTTCCCTGCAGGACCTTGGGTTTCAAATCCCAATCCCAGGGGCTGGAAATGGCTCTGGGAAGACCCAAAAAGCTCCAAGGAACCCAAATTCCTTCCCTCCAAGGAACCCAAATCCCTGACCCAGAGGAGCTCAAGAAAAAAACAGATTTTACTCAAAAATCCTTCCCAACTCTTTTCCTGTAGGATCTTTGCCTTCAAACCCTATTAGATCCAATCCCAGGGGCTGGAATGGCTCTGGGAAGACCCAAAAACCCAAATCCCTGACCCAGAGGAACTCAAGAAGAAACGAGTTTGACTCAAAACCCCTTTCCCTGCAGGACCTTGGCCTTCAAATCCCAATCCCAAGGGCTGGAATGGCTCCAGCACCCGAGGAACCCAAATTCCTCCCCGTCCTTGACCCAGGGGGACCCCAAGGAGGTTCAGGTTTGACTCAAACCCCAAGGATTTGCCCCATCCCTGACCCATCCCACCCCACAGGGTTCTGGCGCCGGTGACGAGCGATGGGGTATTGATGTGGCTCGGTTTCCAGGAGGAAAATCCTTGGAAATCCCAATCCCAGGGGCTGGAATGGCTCTGGGAACACCCAAAAACCCCCAAGGAGCCCAAATTTGTCCCCATCCCTGACGCAAAGGAGCTCCAGAAGAGATGAGTTTGACTCAGGAACCCTTTCCATGCAGGACCTTGGCCTTCAAACCCTGGAAGGCCGAGGAGCTGGAATGGCCTCTGGGAACGCCCAAAAAACCGTGAGGAACCCAAATTTGTCCCCCATTCCTGACCCAGGTGACCCCAAGGAGGTTCAGGTTTGACTCAAACCCCAAGGATTTGCCCCATCCTGGGGTGACCCTGACCCATGCCACCCCGCAGGGTTCTGGCGCCGGTGACGAGCGATGGGGTATGATGTGGCTCGGTTCCAGGGGGACGTGGACGAGGACCTGATCTGCCCCATCTGCTGCGGGGGTCCTGGAGGAGCCGGTGCAGGTAGGACACACCTGGGGATGGGGGTGGGGACAGGTAGGACACACCTGGGGATGGGGACAGGTAGGACACACCTGGGGATGGGGTGGGTGCAGGTAGGGACACACCTGGGGATGGGGACAGGTAGGACACACCTGGGGATGGGGGTGGGGACAGGTAGGACACACCTGGGGCATGGGGTGGGTGCAGGTAGGACACACCTGTGCATGGGGACAGGTAGGACACACCTGGGGATGGGTGCAGGTAGGACACACCTGGGGATGGGGGTGGGGACAGGTAAGGACACACCTGGGGATGGGTGCAGGTAGGACACACCTGGGGCATGGGGTGGGTGCAGGTAGGACACACCTGTGGATGGGGTGGGTGCAGGTAGGACACACCTGGGGATGGGGACAGGTAGGACACACCTGGGCATGGGGTGGGTGGCACGTAGGACACACCTGGGGATGGGGGACAGGTAGGACACACCTGGGGATGGGGGTGGGTGCAGGTAGGACACACCCTGTGGATGGGGACAGGTTAGGTACACACCTGGGGATGGGGTGGGTGCAGGTAGGACACACCTGGCAATGGGGACAGGTAGGACACACCTGGGCATGGGGACAGGTAGGACACACCTGGGGATGGGGTGGGGTGCAGGTAGGACACACCTGGGGATGGGGACAGGTAGGACACACCTGGGGATGGGGACAGGTAGGACACACCTGGGGATGGGGTGGGTGCAGGTAGGACACACCTGGCAATGGGGACAGGTAGGACACACCTGGGGATGGGGTGGGTGCAGGTAGGACACACCTGGGGATGGGGACAGGTAGGACACACCTGGGGCATGGGGTGGGTGCAGGTAGGACACACCTGGGCACCAGGCTGGGATCTGGTGGTGGGCTCCAGGGCTTGGGGATGTTGGGATGGGATGGGCAGGGTCCTGGGAAGGGTTTGAGCAGCACAGGTGAGGGGTCAGGACAGGTGAGGGACCCCCCCCATCCTGGGGAAGGAGTGGAGGTGGCGTTCAGGGCTCTGGCAGGGATCAGGCACAGGTTGGACTCGATGATTTGGGAGGTTTTTCCCAAACTCAGCGATTCCATGAGAGGTCCCGTGAGTGCTCCCTTGAGTTATGCTATGGTTGATCCCAAGAGTGATCCCACGAGTGATTCTATGAGCAATGCCATGAATGATTCCATGATTGATCCCATTAATGATCTCATTATTGATCCTATGATTGATCACATGATTGACCCCATGATCAATCCCATGACTGGAGGAGCACAGGTGGCACTCAGGGCTCTCCTGGGGATCAATTCCATCTCGGCCTTGATGCCCTGGGAGGTTTCCCCAACCCAACCATTCCATGAATGATCCCATGTGTGATCCCATGAATGGTTCCCAGACCAATCCCGTGATCGATCCCATGACTGAATGAGCAGAGGTGGCACTCGGAGCTCTCGTGGAGATCAGTCCCAGCCTGGCCTCGATGCCCTGGGTGGTTTCCCCAACCCAACCATTCCATGAATGATCCCATGTGTGATCCCATGAATGGTTCCCAGACCAATCCCGTGATCAATCCCATGATTGAAGGAGCAGAGGTGGCACTCAGAGCTCTCCTGGGGATCGAGTCCATCTTGCCCTCGATGCCCTGGGAAGTTTTTCCCAATCCAACCATTCTATGGAATGATCAATGCCATGATCAATCCCATGACTGAACGAGCAGAGGTGGCACTTAGGACTCTCCTGGGGATCAGTTCCATCTTGGCCTCGATGCCCTGGGAGGTTTCCCCAACCTCAGCTGTTCATGCATGGCTCCATGAGGGATTCTATGAATGATCCCATGAGTGATCTCAAGAATGATCCCATGATCGATCCCACAAATGATCCCATGATCAACCCCATGACTGAACCAGCAGAGGTGGCACTCAGGGCCCTGTGGGACATCAAGTCCACCTTGGCCTTGACAATCTGGGAGGTTTCCCCTGCTCAACCATTCCATGAATGATCCCATGGTCAATCCCATGATCAATCCCTTGATCAGTCCTATGAGTGATGCCATGATCAATCCCAAGAATGATCCCACGAGTGATCCCATGATCAATCCCATTACCGAATGAGCACAGGTGGCACTCAGAGCTCTCCTGGCGATTGAGTCCATCTTGGCCTTGATGCCATGGGGATGTTTCCCCAACTTAGCCATCCCATGATTGATCCCACGAATGTTCCCATGATCAATCCCATGACTGAATGAGCAGTGGTGGCACTCAGGCCTCTCCAGGGGATTGAGTCCATCGTGGCCTCGATGCCCTGAGAAGTTTCTCCAACCCAACCATTCCATGATCAGTGCCATGATCAATCCCATGACTGAACCAGCAGAGGTGGCACTCGGGGCTCTCTTGGACATCAGGTCCATCTGGGCCTTGACAATCTGGGAGATTTCCCCACCCAACCATTCCATGAGTGACCCCATGATCAGTCCCATGACTGAATGAGCAGAGATGGCACTCAGGGCTCTCTTGGACATCAAGTCCATCTTGGCCTCGATGCCCTGGGAGGTTCCATTGCATCATCGATCCCATGATTGATCCTACCAGTGACCCCATGATCAATCCCATGACTGAATGAGCAGTGGTGGCACTCAGGCCTCTCCAGGGGATTGAGTCCATCGTGGCCTTGATGCCCTGAGAAGTTTCTCCAACCCAACCATTCCATGATCAGTGCCATGATCAATCCCATGACTGAACCAGCAGAGGTGGCACTCGGGGCTCTCTTGGACATCAGGTCCATCTTGGCCTCGATGCCCTGGGAGATTTCCCCACCCCAGCCATTCCATGCATGACTCCATGAGGGATTCCATGATCAATCCCATGATCAATCCCATGACTGAACCAGCAGAGGTGGCACTCGGGGCTCTCTTGGACATCAGGTCCATCTTGGCCTCGATGCCCTGGGAGATTTCCCCACCCCAGCCATTCCATGCATGACTCCATGAGGGATTCCATGATCAATCCCATGATCGATCCCATGACTGAACCAGCAGAGGTGGCACTCAGGGCTCTCTTGGACATCAGGTCCATCTGGGCCTTGACAATCTGGGAGATTTCCCCACCCAACCATTCCATGAGTGACCCCATGATCAGTCCCATGACTGAATGAGCAGAGATGGCACTCAGGGCTCTCTTGGACATCAAGTCCATCTTGGCCTCGATGCCCTGGGAGGTTTCCATTGCATCATCGATCCCATGATTGATCCTACCAGTGACCCCATGATCAATCCCATGACTGAATGAGCAGTGGTGGCACTCAGGCCTCTCCAGGGGATTGAGTCCATCGTGGCCTTGATGCCCTGAGAAGTTTCTCCAACCCAACCATTCCATGATCAGTGCCATGATCAATCCCATGACTGAACCAGCAGAGGTGGCACTCGGGGCTCTCTTGGACATCAGGTCCATCTTGGCCTCGATGCCCTGGGAGATTTCCCCACCCCAGCCATTCCATGCATGACTCCATGAGGGATTCCATGATCAATCCCATGATCAATCCCATGACTGAACCAGCAGAGGTGGCACTCAGGGCTCTCTTGGACATCAGGTCCATCTTGGCCTCGATGCCCTGGGAGATTTCCCCACCCCAGCCATTCCATGCATGACTCCATGAGGGATTCCATGATCAATCCCATGATTGATCCCATGACTGAACCAGCAGAGGTGGCACTCGGGGCTCTCTTGGACATCAGGTCCATCTGGGCCTTGATGCCCTGGGAGGTTCCCCCACCCCATCCCGCGTGACGCTCTCCGTTCCCCGCAGGCGCCGCACTGCGAGCACGCCTTCTGCAATGCCTGCATCACGCAGTGGTTCTCGCAGCAGCAGACGTGCCCCGTGGACCGCAGCGTGGTGACGGTGGCCCACCTGCGCCCGGTGCCGCGCATCATGCGCAACATGCTCTCCAAGCTGCAGATCACCTGCGACAACGCCGTCTTCGGCTGCACGGCCGTGGTGCGCCTCGACAACCTCATGGCTCACCTCAACGACTGCGAGCACAACCCCAAGCGCCCCGTCACCTGCGAGCAGGGATGCGGGTGAGGGCACGGGGCACGGGGTGGGCACGGACGCGGGGTGGGCATGGACATGGGGTGGACATGGGGTGGGGATGGGCATGGTATGGGCACAGGGATCACCCTGGGATGGATATGGGATAAGGATGGACATGAGGTGGGGATGGACGTGGGATGGTCATGGGATGGAGATGACCTTGGGGTGGACACAGGATGGGCACTGGGATGGACTACAGGGTGGGGATGGACACCTAGAACGGGCACAGGGATGGACATGAGTGGACATGAGGTGGCCGCGGGATGGACACGAGATGGCCATGGGTTGGGCGCAGGATGGGCACTGGGATAGGCATGGGATGGGCATGGAACGGACACAGGTTGGTCCTGGGATGGTCATGGGATGGACACAAGACGGGCACTGGGATGGACATGGGGTGGGCATGGACATGGGATGGGGATGGGCATGGGGATGGGCATGGTATGGGCACAGGGATCACCCTGGGATGGACATGGGATAAGGATGGACGTGAGGTGGGGATGGACGTGGGATGGGCATGGGACAGGCACGGGAGTGGCTCTGGGATGGACATCAAATGAGGACGGTCAAGGGATGGGGATGGACATGGGATGGATGTGGAAGGGGGATGGCCATGGAATGGGCACAGGATGAGGATGGACACAGGATGGACACCGGCATGGACACAGGAATGGCCCTGGGATGAGCATGGGATGGGGATGGTCATAGGATGGGGATGGACATGTACAACTGGCACAAGTATGGGCACAGGGTGGGCACGGGGTGGGCATGGGGATGAGGGTGGACATGGGATGGGCAAGGGAAGGGCACAGACATGGAATGGCCCCGGGATGGGCACAGGATGGGCACTGGGATGGGCACAGGGTGGGGATGGTCATGGGATGGGGATGGCCATGGGATGGACACAGGGTGGGGATGGGATGGGCACAGGAACGGCCCTGGAATGGGCACTGGGATGGACATGGGATGGGGATGGACATGAGATGGGCATTGGGATGGGCACAGGATGGGGATGAGATGGGCACAGGATGGGGGTGGTTGTGGGATGGGGATGGCCATGGGACAGGCAGAGGACGGGCACTGGGATGGGCATGGGATGGTCCTGGGGATGGACATGAGGTAGGCATGGACATGGGATGGGCATGGGATGGGAATGGACACATAGAATGGGCACAGGATGGCCATGGAACAGGCACAGGAGTGGCACAGGAATGGGCACAGGAAAGGGCACTGGGATGGACATTGAATGGGGATGGTCGTAGGATGGGGATGGACACATAGAATGGGCACTGGATGGACATTGGTATGGACATGAGGTGGTCCTGGGATGGACACAGGGTGGGGATGGACATGGGATGGGCACAGGAATAGCCCTGGGATAGACACGGGATGGGGATGGAACAGGCACAGGGATGACTCTGGGATGGGCACAGGATGGGCACTGGGATGGACACAGGATGGGGATGGGTGTGGGATGGGCACAGGAGCGGACATTGGGATGGAGATGGCATGGGGATGGACACAGGATGGCCCTAGGATGGACACAAGGTGGGAGTGGGATGGGCATGGTATGGGCATTGGGATGGACACAGGAATGGGCACTGGGATGGACATGAGATGGCCCTGGAATGGACTCAGAGTGGGCATGGGATGGGCACGGGATGAGGATGGACATGGAATGGCCCTGGGATGGACACAGGATGGCACTGGGTTGGGCACAGGGTGGCCATGGAATGGCCAAAAGAACGGCCCTGGGATGAACATTGGCATTGGCATGGGGATGGGCATGGGTTGGCCATGGAACAGGCACAGGGATGGGCACTGGGGTGGGCACAGGGATGGGCACTGCGATGGGCACTGGGATGGGCACTGCGATGGGCACTGGGATGGGCACAGGAATGGACACAGGATGGCCCTGGGATGGTCCCTGGGATGGGCACAGGATGGGCACTGGGATGGGCACAGGGATGGGCACAGGATGGGCACTGGGATGGGCACAGGATGGCCCTGGGATGGACACAGGATGGGCACAGGGATGGGCACAGGATGGCCCTGGGATGGGCACAGGATGGCCCTGGGATGGGCACTGGGATGGGCACAGGATGGGCACTGGGATGGGCACTGGGATGGGCACAGGATGGGCACTGGGATGGGCACAGGATGGGCACAGGGATGGGCACTGGGATGGGCACAGGATGGGCACTGGGATGGGCACTGGGATGGGCACAGGATGGCCCTGGGATGGGCACAGGATGGGCACAGGGATGGGCACTGGGATGGACACAGGATGGGCACAGGGATGGGCACTGGGATGGGCACTGGGATGGGCACAGGATGGGCACAGGATGGGCACAGGGATGGGCACAGGAATGGACACAGGATGGGCACAGGGATGGGCACAGGGATGGGCACAGGAATGGACACAGGATGGGCACTGGGATGGGCACAGGATGGACACAGGATGGCCCTGGGATGGGCACAGGATGGGCACAGGATGGGCACAGGGATGGGCACAGGATGGGCACTGGGATGGGCACAGGATGGACACAGGATGGGCACTGGGATGGGCACAGGAATGGGCACAGGATGGGCACTGGGATGGGCACAGGATGGACACAGGATGGCCCTGGGATGGGCACAGGGATGGGCACTGGGATGGGCACTGGGATGGGCACAGGATGGGCACAGGGATGGGCACAGGAATGGACACAGGATGGGCACTGGGATGGGCACAGGATGGACACAGGATGGCCCTGGGATGGGCACAGGATGGCCCTGGGATGGGCACAGGATGGGCACAGGATGGGCACTGGGATGGGACACTTCAGGAGAGGTCCATGTTGGACCTCCGCAGGAATTTCCTCCTGGAAGGAGCTGTCAGGCTTTAGCACTCCTCAGGAAGGCATCCAAGCAAAAAAACCCCATTTATCCCCCAAATCCTCCCCCAGCCTGACACTCGGAGCCTTTCCCCACCTGAGTTACCTCCGGGAGCTGTAAAATCCCCTAAATTTGTGCCTCCACCTTTTTTCCCCTCTCTCTCCTGGCAGGTTGGAGATGCCCAAGGACGAGCTGCCCAACCACAACTGCATCAAGCACCTGCGCTCGGTGGTGCAGCAGCAGCAGACGAGGATTGCAGAGCTGGAGAAAACCTCAGCTGAGCACAAGCACCAGCTGGCCGAGCAGGTGGGCACCTGGAAGGGCAGGTTTGGGGTGTTTGGAACTGAAATCCCCCCCAAAAAAGGGGGGAGAAGGTGTGGTTCTGTAGGTTTGGGCTGGGCTACACTGGGGACTCCAGAAATATCAAAATCCCCCCAAAAAATTCCCAAAGAAATCCCAAAAAAAGTCTGTAGGGAGGTGTCTGTGGGATTGGGTGGCCGAGCAGGTGGGCACCTGGAAGGGCAGGTTTGGGGTGTTGGGAACCAAAATCTCAAAAAAAAATGGGGGAGAAGGTGTGGTTCTGTAGGATTGGGCTGGGCTACACTGGACACTCCAGAAATCCCAAAATCCCCCAGAAAATCCCAAAAAAAGTCTGTGGGGAGGTGTCTGTGGGATTAGGTGGCTGAGCAGGTGGGCACCTGGAAGGGCAGGTTTGGGGTGTTGGGAACTGAAATCCCCCCAAAAAAATGGGGGAGAAGGTGTGGTTCTGTAGGATTGGGCTGGGCTACACTGGGAACTCCAGAAGTATCAAAATCCACCAAAAAATTCTCAAAGAAATCCCAAAAAAAGTCTGTGGGGAGGTGTCTGTGGGATTGGGTGGCCGAGCAGGTGGGCACCTGGAAGGGCAGGTTTGGGGTGTTTGGAACTGAAATCCCCCCAAAAAAAGGGGGGAGAAGGTGTGGTTCTGTAGGATTGGGCTGGGCTACACTGGGGACTCCAGAAATCCCAAAATCCCCCAGAAAATCCCAAAAAAAGTCTGTGGGGAGGTGTCTGTGGGATTGGGCTGGCCGAGCAGGTGGGCACCTGGAAGGGCAGGTTTGGGGTGTTTGGAACTGAAATCCCCCCAAAAAAAATGGGGGAGAAGGTGTGGTTCTGTAGGATTGGGCTGGGCTACACTGGGAACTCCAGAAGTATCAAAATCCACCAAAAAATTCTCAAAGAAATCCCAAAAAAAGTCTGTGGGGAGGTGTCTGTGGGATTGGGCTGGCCGAGCAGGTGGGCACCTGGAAGGGCAGGTTTGGGGTGTTTGGAAGTCAAATCCCCAAAAAACATAGAGGAGAAGTTGTGGTTCTGTAGGATTGGGCTGGGCTACACTGGGGACTCCAGAAATCCCAAAATCCCCCAGAAAATCCCAAAAAAAGTCTGTGGGGAGGTGTCTGTGGGATTGGGCTGGCCGAGCAGGTGGGCACCTGGAGGGCAGGTTTGGGGTGTTGGGAACTGAAACCCCCCAAAAAAAAATGGGGGAGAAGGTGTGGTTCTGTAGGATTGGGCTGGGCTACACTGGGGGACTCCAGAAATATCAAATCCCCCCCAAAAATTCCCAAAGGAAATCCCAAAAAAAGTCTGTGGGGAGGTGTCTGTGGGATTGGGTGGCCGAGCAGGTGGGCACCTGGAAGGGCAAAAATTGGGGTGTTGGGGAACTGAAAATCCCAAAAAAAAAAGGGGGAAAAGTGGCTGGGAGAAGGTGTGGCTCCGTGGGATTGGGCTAGGCCATGCCAGGAGCTCTAGAAATCCCCAAAAAATCTTAAAAAAAATTCCCCCAAAAATGGGGGAGAAGGTGTGGCTCTGTGGGATTGGGCTATGCAACGCTGAGGGCTCTAGAAATCCCCAAAATCCCCCCCAAAAAAGGCTTTGGGGAGGTGTGAGTTGAGTGTGGCTCTGTGGGACTGGGCTGGGCCACAGCGGGGGGCTCCAGGCATCCCAAAAATCCAAAACAAATCCCCAAAAAAAATGGGGGGAGAAGGTGTGGCTCTGTAGGATCGGGCTGGGCCACACTGGAGGCTCTAGAAATCCCAAAATCCCAAAAAAGGATCCAAAAAAAAACCCCCAAAAAAGGATGTGGGGAGATTTGAGTTGAGTGTGGCTCTGTGGGATTGGGCTGAGCCATGCTGGGGGCTCCAGAAATCCCAAAATCCAAAAAAAAAATCCCCAAAAAAATGGGGGAGAAGGTGTGGTTTCTGTAAGGGGAAGATGTGTCTCTGTGTGGCTCTGTAGGATTGGGGACTCCATAAAATCCCAAATCCCCCCAAAAAAATCCCAAAGAAGTCCCAAAAAAAAGGTTGTAGGGAGGTGTGAGTTGAGTGTGGCTCTGTGGGATTGGACTAGGCCACGCTGGGGGGCTCCAGACATCCCAAAATCCCAGAAAATAATCCCAAAAATTCCCCCCCAAAAAAGGATGTGGGGAGATCTGAGTTGAGTGTGACTCTGTGGGATTGGGGGTACACCATGCTGGGGGCTCCAGAAATCCCAAAATCCAAAAAAAAATCCCCAAAAAAGGCTGTGGGGAGGTGTGAGTTGAGTGTGGCTCTGTGGGATTGGGCTGGGCCCGTGCTGGGGGCTCCAGAAATCCAAAAAATCCCAAAAAAATCCCCCAAAAAATCCTCAAAAAACAGGAAAAATTGTGCTGAGGGGGACCAATGGGTTGAGTGTGGCTCTTGCAGTAATGAAAATTAAAAAAATGTTGTGAAAGATCTGATTTATTTAAAGGATATAAGTTAAATCTGGTAGTAATTATTATTTATTTTTCTAATAAGTTTTAAGGTCTTCATTCCAAGTTTTTATTTGTGTTTATTTTTGTATTTATTACCTTTGTAAGATTAAAAAAAAGGGGAAGAACAAGGGGGCGGGTTTGCGTTGTTAGGCACCAAAAACGAGGGGGAAAAAAAAGGGTAAATTTTTGGTGCTTGGACACCAAAAATCCTCACAAAAAAAAGGAGAAAAAAATGGATAATTCTCATTCTAAATCCCATTTTTTTCCCTGCCTTGGCAGAAGAGGGACATCCAGCTGCTCAAGGCCTACATGAGGGCGATCCGCAGTGTCAACCCCAACCTGCAGAACCTGGAGGAGACCATCGAGTACAACGAGATCCTGGAGTGAGTGGCGGGGGCCTCCGGGGGGTTTTTGTGGGAAATTTTTTTGGTTTTTTTTGAGGGAAATTTATCGATTTTTGAGGGAAATTTATCATTTTTTGAGGGATTTTTGTTGTTTTTTGAGGGAAATGGGTCATTTCCTGAGGGAAATTCACTGATTTTTGAGGGAAATTTGTCATTGTCTGAGGGAAATTTGTAGATTTTGGGAGAAAATTTGTCACTCTTTGAGGAAAACTCATTGATTTTTGAGGGAAATTTGTCATTTTCTGAGGGAAGTTTGTAGGTTTGGAGGGAAATGAGTTGATTTTTGAGGGAAATTAATCAATTTTTGAGGGAAATTTTGTAGGTGTTTGAGGGGAATTAGTCAATTATTGAGGGAAATTCATCGATTTTTGAGGGAAATTCATCAATTTTTTCAGGGAAATTTGTAGGTTTTGGGGGGGAAAGTTGTTGTTTTTTGAGGGAAATTTGTGGTTTTTTGAGGAGATTTTGTAGGTTTTGGGAGAAAATTCATCTTTTTCTGAGGGAAATTTGTAGGTTTTAGGAGAAAAAATTGTCATTTTTTGAGGGAAATTCATTGTTTTTGAGGGGAAATTCTATTTACTTTTGAGGGAAATTTGTTGTTTATTGAGGGAAATGTGTTAATTTTTGAGGAAATTCTGTGATCCCACCCCATCCCTGACCCCGTCTGAGTGTCCTGAGCTGGCCTGAACCCCCACAAATCCACCCCAAACCCTCATCCCTGACCCCATTATGCCCCCTAAGCTGGGTGGAACCCCAAAATTCCACAATCCTGACCCCCATTATGTCCCCCCCAGCTGGGTGAACCCCCACAATTCCCACAATCCCTGACCCCATTATGCCCCCCTAACTGGCTGAACCCCCAAAATTCCACAATCCCTGACCCCATTATGTCCCCTAAGCTGGCTGAACCCCACAATTCCACAATCCCTGACCCCATTATGTCCCCCCAGCTGGGTGAACCCCCACAATTCCACAATCCCTGACCCCATTATGTCCCCTAAGCTGGGTGAACCCCCACAATTCCACAATCCCTGACCCCATTATGTCCCCCCAGGTGGGTGAACCCCCACAATTCCACAATCCCTGACCCCCATTATGTCTCCCCAGCTGGGTGAACCCCCCACAATTCCACAATCCCTGACCCCATTATGTCCCCCCCCAGGTGGGTGAACCCCAAAATTCCACAATCCCTGACCCACATTACGTCCCCCCAGCTGGGTGAACCCCCACAATTCCACAATCCCTGACCCCATTATGTCCCTAACTGCCTGAACCCCCACAATTCCACAATCCCTGACCCCGTTGTGTCCCCCCCAGCTGGCTGAACCCCCACAATTCCACAATCCCTGACCCCATTATGTCCCCCTAAGGTGGGTGAACCCCCACAATTCCACAATCCCTGACCCCGTTGTGTCCCCTAAGCTGGGTGAACCCAAAATTCCACAATCCCTGACCCCATTATGTCCCCAAAGCTGGCTGAACCCCCACAATTCCACAATCCCTGACCCCATTATGTCCCCCCAGGTGGGTGAACCCCCACAATTCCACAATCCCTGACCCCATTATGTCCCCCCCAGGTGGCTGAACCCCAAAATTCCACAATCCCTGGACCCCCATTATGTCCCCCCAGGTGGGTGAACCCCCACAATTCCACAATCCCTGACCCCATTATGCCCCCCTAACTGGCTGAACCCCCACAATTCCACAATCCCTGACCCCATTATGTCCCCCCAGGTGGCTGAACCCCAAAATTCCACAATCCCTGACCCCATTATGCCCCCCTAAGCTGGCTGAAACCCCCACAATTCCACAATCCCTGACCCCATTACGTCCCCCAAGGTGGGTGAACCCCCACAATTCCACAATCCCTGACCCCATTATGTCCCCTAAGCTGGGTGAACCCCACAATTCCACAATCCCTGACCTCATTATGTCCCCCTAAGCTGGGTGAACCCCACAATTCCACAATCCCTGACCCCATTATGTCCCCCCAGCTGGGTGAACCCCCACAATTCCACAATCCCTGACCCCGTTGTGTCCCCTAAGCTGGGTGAACCCCCCAACATTCCACAATCCCTGACCCCATTATGTCCCCCCAGGTGGGTGGAACCCCCACAATTCCACAATCCCTGACCCCATTACGTCCCCCCACGTGGGTGAACCCCCACAATTCCACAATCCCTGACCCCATTATGTCCCCCCAGGTGGGTGAACCCCCACAATTCCACAATCCCTGACCCCATTATGTCCCCCTAAGCTGGCTGAACCCCCACAATTCCACAATCCCTGACCCCATTACGTCCCCCAAGGTGGGTGGAACCCCCACAATTCCGCAATCCCTGACCCCATTAATGTCCCCCCCAGGGTGGGTGAACCCCCCACAATTCCACAATCCCTGACCCCATTATGTCCCCCCAGGTGGGTGAACCCCACAATTCCACAATCCCTGACCCCATTACGTCCCCCCAGCTGGGTGAACCCCAAAATTCCACAATCCCTGACCCCATTATGTCCCCTAAGCTGGGTGAACCCCCACAAATTCCACAATCCCTGACCCCATTATGCCCCCCTAAGCTGGCTGAACCCCCACAATTCCACAATCCCTGACCCCATTATGTCCCTAAGCTGGGTGAACCCCACAATTCCACAATCCCTGACCCCATTATGTCTCCCCAGCTGGGTGAATCTCCCCAATTCTACAACCCCGCCCCGCCCCTGACCCCCATTATCTCTCGCCAGGTGGGTGAACTCTCTGCAGCCGGCGCGGGGTGACGCGCTGGGGCGGCATGATCTCCACGCCGGACGCCCGTCCTTCAGGCCGTCATCAAGCGCTCGCTGGTGGAGAGCGGCTGCCGGCGTCCATCACCAACGAGCTGATCGAGAACGCGCACGAGCGCAACTGGCCGCAGGGGCTGGCCACGCTGGAGACGCGGCAGATGAACCGCAGATACTACGAGAACTACGTGGCCAAACGCATCCCCGGCAAGCAGGCCGTGGTGGTGATGGCCTGCGAGAACCAGCACATGGGAGAGGACATGGTGCTGGAGCCGGGGCTCGTCATGATCTTCGCTCACGGAGTGGAGGAGATCTGAGAAAAATCCAGCTCTGGGATGGTGGGGGGTTTTGTGGAGATGGGGGTTTTGGGGTTGTGATTATTGGTCATGGAGGAGAGCCGAAAAAAATCCAACTTGGAGATGGCAGGGGTTTCCTGGACTTGGATTTTTCCCTCATGGAGTGGAGGAGATATGAAAAAAATCCAACTCTGGGATGGCAGGGGTTTCCTGGACTTGGATTTTTCCCTCATGAAATGGAGGAGATCTGAGAAAAATCCACCTTGGGATGGAGGGGAGTTTTATGGAGTTGGGGTTTTGGGGTTGTGATTTTTGCTCATGGAGGAGAGCCAAAAAAAATCCAACTTGGAGATGGCAGGGGTTTCCTGGACTTGGATTTTTCCCTCATGGAGTGGAGGAGATCTGAGAGAAATCCACCTTGGGATGGAGGGGGTTTAATGGACTTGGATTTTTCCCTCATGGAGTGGAGGAGATCTGAGAAAAATCCACCTTGGGATGGTGGGAGTTTTGTGGAGATGGGGGTTTTGGGGTTGTGATTATTGGTCATGGAGGAGAGCCGAAAAAAATCCAATTTGGAGATGGCAGAGGTTTCCTGGACTTGGATTTTTCCCTCATGGAGTGGAGGAGATATGAAAAAAATCCAATTTGGAGATGGCAGGGGTTTCCTGGACTTGGATTTTTCCCTCATGAAGTGGAGGAGATCTGAGAGAAATCCACCTTGGGAAGAAGGGGGGGTTTGTGGAGGAGATGTGAAAAAAATCCAGCCTGAGACAGCGGGAGTTTTCTGGAATTGGATTTTTGGGGTGTGGTTTTTGGTCATGGAGGAGATGTGAAAAAAATCCATCTTGAGACAGTGGGGGTTTCCTGGACTTGGATTTTTGGGGTTCGTGATTTTCACTCATGCCATGGAGGAGATCTGAGAAAAATTCACCTTGGGATGGAGGGGAGTTTGTGGAGGAGATGTGAAAATAATCCAACTCAAGACAGTGAGGGTTTTGTGGAGTTGGGTTTTTTGCTCATGACGTGGAAGAGATCCAAAAGTAATCCAGCTTGGGACACTGGGGGTTTCCTGGACTTGGGTTTTTCCCTCTTGAAATGGAGGAGATCTGAGAAAAATCCACCTTGGGATGGAGGGGAGTTTTCTGGAGTTGGGATTTTGGGGTTGTGATTTCTGCTCGTGGAGGAGATCTGGAAAAAATCCAACTTGGGACACTGGGGCTTTCCTGGACTTGGATTTTTTGCTCATGACATGGAGGAGGTCTGGAAAAAATCCAGCTCGGGACAATGGGGGTTTCCTGGAGTTGGGTTTTTGGGGTTCATAATTTTCATTCATGCCATGGAGGAAACCTGAAAAAAACCCACCTTGGGATGGAGGGGAGTTTTATGGAGTTGGGGTTTTGGGGTTGTGATTTTTGCTCATGGAGGAGAGCCAAAAATAATCCAATTTGGAGATGGCAGGGGTTTCCTGGACTTGGATTTTTCCCTCATGAAGTGGAGGAGATCTGAGAGAAATCCACCTTGGGATGGAGGGGGTTTTATGGAATTGGATTTTTCCCTCATGGAGTGGAGGAGATCTGAAAAAAAATCCAACTTGAGACAGTGGGGGTTTCTTGGAGTTGGAATTTTGGGGTTTTGATTTTTGCTCACGGCGTGGAAATCTGGAAAAAAAAAAAAAAAATCCAACTCGGGGACAATGAGGATTTCCTGGATTTGGAATTTTGGGGTTGTGATTTTTGCTCATGGCATGGAGGAGATCTAAGAGAAATTCACCTTGAGATGGAGGGGGTTTAATGGACTTGGATTTTTCCCTCATGGAAATGGAGGAGATCTGAGAAAAATCCACCTAGGGACAGCAGGGGTTTTCTGGAGTTGGGATTTTGGGGTTGTGATTTTTGGTCATGGAGTGGAGATCCAAAAAAATCCAACATGGAACACTGGGGGTTTCCTGGACTTGGATTTTTTGCTCATGAAGTGGAGGAGATCTGAGAAAAATCCATCTCGGGATGGAGGGGGGGTTTGTGGAGGAGATGTGAAAAAAATCCAGCCTGAGACAGTGGGAGTTTCCTGGAGTTGGGTGTTTGGGGTTCATAATTTTCATTCATGCCATGGAGGAAACCTGAAAAAAATTCACCTTGGGACAATGGGGATTTTCTGTAGTTGGGATTTTGGGGTTGTGATTATTGGTCATGGAGGAGAGCCAAAAAAAATCCAGCTTGGGCTGGCAGGGGTTTTCTGGACTTGGATTTTTCCCTCATGAAGTGGAGGAGATCTGAGAGAAATCCACCTTGGGATGGAGGGGGTTTTATGGAATTGGATTTTTCCCTCATGGCTTGGAAGAGATCTGAAAAAAAATCCAACTTGAGACAGTGGGGGTTTCTTGGAGTTGGAATTTTGGGGTTTTGATTTTTGCTCACGGCGTGGAAATCTGAGGAAAAAAAAAAAAAAATCCAGCTCGGGGACAATGAGGATTTCCTGGATTTGGAATTTTGGGGTTGTGATTTTTGGTCAGGACGTAGAGATCCAAAAATAATCCAACTGGGGACAGTGGGGGTTTCATGGAGTTGGGATTTTGGGGTTTTGATTTTTGCTCACGGCGTGGAAATCTGAGGAAAAAAAAAAAAAAAAATCCAGCTCGGGGACAATGAGGATTTCCTGGATTTGGAATTTTGGGGTTGTGATTTTTGCTCACGGCGTGGAGAAGATCTGAAAACAATCAAGGGTTCCACCGCCTCAGGACGGTGGGGGTTTGTTGGACTTGGACTTTCAGGGTTTGTGGTTTTCCCTCACAGCAGGAAAATCTGGAGAGCTGAAAAAATTCCTCCTCAGGACAGCGGGGGTTCCCTGGACTCGGAATTTTGGGGTTCCCTGGACTCGGAATTTCAGGGTTCCCCACTGAATTTTTGGGGTTTCCTGGACTCAGAATTTTGGGGTTCATCGGACTCGGAATTTCGGGGTTCCCCATTGGATTTTTTGGGCTTCCCTGGACTCAGAATTTTGGGGTTCCCTGGACTCGGAATTTTGGGGTTCCCTGGACTCAAATCTTGGGGTTCCCCATTGGATTTCTGCGCTTCCCTGGGCTTGGAATTTTGGGGTTCCCTGGACTCGGATTTTGGTGTTCCCCATTGGATTTTTGGGGTTCCCCATTGGATTTTTTGGGCTTCCCTGGACTCAGAATTTTGGGGTTCCCTGGACTCGGAATTTTGGGGTTCCCCATTGGATTTTTTGGGCTTCCCTGGACTCAGAATTTTGGGGTTCATTGGACTCGGATTTGGTGTTCCCCATTGGATTTTTGGGGTTCCCCACTGGATTTTTGGGGTTCCCCATCAGATTTTTGGGGTTTCCTGAACTCAGAATTTTGGGGTTCATTTGACTCGGAATTTTGGGGTTCCCTGGACTCAAATCTTGGGGTTCCCCATTGGATTTTCGGGGTTCCCTGGACTCGGATTTTGGTGTTCCCCATTGGAATTTTGGGCTTCCCTGGACTCAGAATTTTGGGGTTCATTGGACTCAGAATTTTGGGGTTCCCTGGACTCAAATCTTGGGGTTCCCCATTGGATTTTTGGGTTTCTCTGGACTCGGATTTGGTGTTCCCCATTGGAATTTTGGGGTTCCCTGGACTCGGATTTTGGGGTTCCCCATTGGATTTTTGGGGTTCCCCGCTGGATTTTTGGGGTTCCCCGCTGGATTGGACCCGTTACAAACCCAGCTCAGCTCTCCCCATTCCAAGAACTGGGGGGCTCCAGACCCCTCGGGGGTCCCCCAAACCCCGCAAGCTCCATCTCCCCCTTGGGGACCCTCCTGTCCCCCTCTTTCCGTGCATGCCCCACTCCCTGACCCCAATCCGTGTTTGCCTCTGTTTTCTCCACTTTTTGGTGTTATTTTTTCCAAACGCTCCTGATTGTTCTGTATTTTAAATTTTTTTTTTTTTTTACCTTTTTATTCTCCCTTTTTTTCTGTTTTGTTTTGTTTTTTTTTTTTTTTTTTACTCTCCCTTTTTATTTGATTTTTTTTTTTCCAAGTAACCGTGGGCAGGCACCTCTGGCCTGGGACTCGTTGGGAATTTAATTTAATTTATTTGCATTTATTTTGGGGTGGTTTTTTTTTTGTTTTTTTTTTTTTTATCATTGTTTCTCCTCCCGGCAGATGTGGAGGGAGGCAGGGATTGAAGTGATCAATAAACAGAATTCTGGTTGCTTTATCCCCGTTTTGGGGGGCTCCTCCTGCACCCCAAAACCCCCTCCCCGTGTCGGGGGGCTCAGTTTTGGGGTGAAAACGGGTGGGTTTGGGATCCTGGGGGGATTTGGGGATTAATAAATGTCAGTCCTAAAAGGGAATGGGGGTGGCTGAGGGTCCTGGGGGGTTCCCTTGGTCCCCACCCCAAAAAGAGCTGGGGCTGGGATTGGGGGGTCCCACCCTAAAAAGGGCTGGGACTGGGGGGTCCTCACCCCAAAAAGTGATGGGATTGGGGGTCCCCATCCCTAAAAGAGCTGGAATTGGGGGTCCAACCCTAAAAAGGGCTGGGATTGGGGGGTCCTCACCCCAAAAAGAGCTGGGATTGGGGGGGTCCCACCCTAAAAAGAACTGGGACTGAAACTGGGGGTCCCCATCCCTAAAAGAGCTGGGATTGGGGGGTCCCCACCCCAAAAAGAGTGGGGATTGGGGGGTCCCACCCTAAAAAGAACTGGGACTGGAACTGGGGGTCCCCATCCCTAAAAGAGCTGGAATTGGGGGGTCCCCACCCCAAAAAGATCTGGGATTGGGGGATCCCTACCCCAAAAAGAGTGGGGATTGGGGGGTCCCACCCTAAAAAGAACTGGGACTGGAACTGGGGGTCCCCATCCCTAAAAGAGCTGGAATTGGGGGGTCCCCACCCCAAAAAGATCTGGGATTGGGGGATCCCTACCCCAAAAAGAGTGGGGATTGGGGGGTCCCACGCTAAAAAGAGCTGGGACTGGAACTGGGGGGTCCCCATTCCTAAAAGAGCTGGAATTGGGGGGTCCCCACCCCAAAAAGTGATGGGA